GGNAAAAGTGCCCAACGTAAGGGTTTCTTCCCGACTCGGAGTCGCCGCTACCACAACGTCGCGCTGCGACGTACGAAGTTAGTCCGAGCCGCTCGCGGAGGACGTGTAGCCGCCGAGGAGGCCGCCGAGCGCGTTCGTCGGCGCCTTCTCCTCCGCGGGCTTCTCCTTCTTCGCCGGGGGCGCCGCGGGCGCGGCGAGCCGGCGCTTGACGATGGTCGTGCGCGGCGGCGGCGGCGGCGCGGGCTGCTCGCGGCCCGCCGCGAGGAGCGCGGCGCCGAGCGCCGCGTCCGGCGCGGGCGGCGGTTTCTGCGCGCGAACCGCCGCGTCCGGCCCCGCCGGTTTCCGCGCGTCGTCGTCCGACGACGACGGCGGCAGCGCCGACGTGGCCGCGCGGGCCTTGCGCTGCGCCTTCTGGAAGGCCTCGAGCTCCGACTTGTCCGCCGCGGCCGACGCGGCGGCCGCGTCCGCCTCGCCGCCGCCGCGGCCGAGGTCCGCGCGGAGGTCCGCGCGGTCGACGCGCTCGTGGCGCTCGTTGTAGGCCTTGATCTCGTCGAGCGCGTCGAGGATGTCCATCTCGATCTTCGAGTCGAGGGTCCGCGACTCGAGGGCGGCCATGGCGTTCCTGTGAGTTTTTTTGTGTCGTGTTTTCAACGGGTGGGAGCCTTTGTGTGCGAAGGGCGGGATAAGCTACCGCGGCTCGTCCGGGGGCTCTGCTCTCCCAGCTGACGTGTGTTGCGCGCTCGCTCCGATCCCCCTCGTTTTCGCGCTCTCTCGCGCGCTCGCTCCGATCCCCCTCGCCCCGCGCCGTCGCGGAACAATCACGAGTGCCGCGCCGCGCCGCGCTGCTCGTTCGACTCCTTCTGCTCGTCCTCGAACTCCTTCTCCTTGTCGTCCTGCTGGCGCCAGCTCTCGAAGTTGCGCGTCGCGCCGCTCTCGCAGACGTAGTCCTGGTTCTGCGGGTCCGTCTTGAACGCGATCTCGTTGCTGCAGACGCAGCACTTGATGTAGAAGCGGTACTTGCGGATGCCGAGGTACGTGTCGCCGACGACGTCCTCCTTGCGGCTGTTGAACTTTTTGCCTGAGGTTTTTTTCGGGTGAGCGACGCGCGGATCCTCTCTCTTTAGTCGGGGCGGGAGTTCCGACGCGCGGATCGTCTCGCTCACTCTTTCCGCGGCTCGTTCGGGGGAGTTCCGCCGCAGGAGCGTAGCGCGCAGGCGACGCCTCCCGCCGCCCGAGACGAGCCTCGAAGACGTCCCCGCGACGACGGCGCGCGCGTCCCCCCCCACGCCGCGCACCCTCGATGCTCGCGCGGAATCGGTCTCTGTCTCTCGGCGCCGCGGACGGACACCCGCCCCTCTCTCAGGAGACGTCGAAGTCGCGTCGTCGGGCGCCGGCGCGCGCCTCGGTACATGTACTCGCCGCACTTGACGCACTGCAGCGAGAAGGGGATCATCATGCGCACCTCGACCTGCTTGTAGGGGTCCCACTTGCGCCGCGGCACCAGCAGCGGGTCGAAGTCCGGCGGGAAGTAGCGGTTGAGCACCTTGCGCTCGCCCATTGGGTTTTGTTGTTGTGGTGTGCTCTGGTGTTTTTGCTTCGACGACTAGTGCGTGTGTGTGTTGACGAGGCTCTTGGGTGGCCTTTTGTGGTGGTTTTGGGCGCTTTGGTGCGCGGCGGCGGCGGAGAAGGAGGAGCTACGCGAGGAGCTACTCCATGCCCTCTGTCAACCTTGGCCGGGGGTCCAGTGTCTCCTTCGCCCCAGCGTGAGCCGCACGGCGCTCCGATTGCTGGAGAGGGGCGCGTCGGGCAGCGTCTTGATGGCCTTCGTGTAGAGCGCGTCGCAGACGGGCATGTCCTTGCGCGCGAAGGCCTTGCGCGCGCGATCCTTGATCTCGGCGACGAGCGGCGCGTCGTCGTCGTCGTAGGGCGATTTTGCGTTTTTTTGTGTGTTATGGTGCGTCGCTGTTTGATCCTAGGTTGTTGTGGGAGCTTGCGGTGTTTGTTCGAGTTTGGTGGTGTTGTAGATGTCATTGTCGTACGGCTCTTCGTCGCAGCGTCATAGCATGAGACCTAAATGTCGTCCGTCGCAGCGCACAAAAGCAACATTGTCCTTTGTGCACGTACCATCAACCCAACTTACATCAACCCAGTGACCCAACTTACATTTGACACTTTATAACACTCTCACCCAAAAAAAAATACAACAACATCAACTCAAACCTCCAATACAAAAAAAAACTACAACAACATCAACTCAAACCTCCAATACAACAAAAAAAACCACTCCAATACAAAAAAAAAACAAAAAAAAACAAAACAAAAAAAAAACAACAAAAAAACGACATTGACAGGACTCGAACCTGCGACCCTCGGACGGATTACGCGCGGTGCGCTGAAAATCGAACGGGAATTGATTTCTAGTCAATCGCCTTAACCACTCGGCCACAATGTCTAGAACCACCAACCCGAACTCGCGCCGTTTGACACAAGCTTTGGTCGAATTTGATTGATTTGGCAAAACAGGATCGAGTCGATCCTTGTATCGGCCCTAGTTGGAAAGATTCACGGTCTCGCCGTCGCCGCAGCCTCTTGTGCGCGACACAAATGCGTGTCGTGAGAGCGAGCGGCGGTTTATTTGGAGCCGCCGTCGTCGACGCGCCGCGACGACCGTGGCGCTCCGCCGGGCGCCGCCTCAACCGTCACGCCCGGGCCGAGCGGCGCCGGGCCGGGAGTCGCGGCCCGCCGGCGGCCGCGCCGCGTCCGGACTCCGCGTCCAGCGCCGAGCCGGCGGGCGCCCGGCGACGCCCGGCGACGCCCAGCGACGTCCGGTGGCGTCCGGCTCCGAGTCGGGTGTCGGATCGCGGTCGACCAAGTCTCGGGCTTCGCGTCGCCTGTATCTGCCCATATCTTAAAGATATGGGCAGATACGGGAGACAGGCGAAAGGGCGGACCGGTTTGGAACTTTGCGTCCGGAAGCCCGGCGTCGGCGTCCGGCCGCGTCCGGACTCGCGTCCGGAGCCGGCGTCCGGCGGCGTCCTGCGACGTCCGGCGACGTCCGGCGGCGTCCGGCTCAGGTCCTGAGTCGGCGTCCGGCGGCGTCCGGCGCCGCGCGTCCGGCGGCGTCCGGCGGCGTCCGGCGGCGTCCGGCGGCGTCCGGCGGCGTCCGGCGGGGTCCGGGAAACTTCAACCAGTGAATGGGCGTGCGGTAGTAGGCATCGCAGGCGTCGAGCGACGCCGTGCCGCTGGGTGACGTCGGCTCGAGGTCACGGTGCGCCGTCATGGGCCGGGATCAGGCTCGTCGGCGGCCGCCGTCTCGTAGGGCGTCGCCGACTCGTCGCGCTTGGACTCGTGGTAGTCGTCGACCTCGTTGGTGTCGTCGCTCGAGCCGTCTCGTCCGTCGCGGGCTCGCCGCCGACCGTTCTCGCCGCCGACCGTGTCATTCTAAAACTCCCACAATACTAATACCACCAAACGAAAACAACCACACGACACCTACCTCTATAAACAAAAAAAAACACCTACCTCCATATAACAAAAAAAAAGATACGGTCCGTGGGGTTCGAACCCACGCCTCCGAAGAGACTAGTACCTGAAACTAGCGCCTTAGACAGTGAGGACGAATGGAACCAGTGACCGATTCGACTCGCTCGGCCAGAACCGCACCACGCGAAAACGCGCAAATTTGTTAGATTCTGAAAACGGTTTCGAGACGTCCAAATAACCGTGAAGTGCTACTTCATTCTCGAGAACGCGATTGGCGCGCGTTCAGCGCACTAGTGCAGCGTCGTCAGACGCAGCTCGCGCGCGCGAACTGGGGTTGGGCGATCGTGTTGCGAGTGGCAAACGACAGGATTCGCACAAAAAAAACAGCATGCGTGAAACGCAGTCGCTTTCGACTGTGTAGACCCCAAATCCTTAAAAAAAAAACCCACATGCGTTACTAGGACGTTTTGTGAGATTGCGAGACAAAAAAAAAGTTTGTGAGATTCAAAAACAAAAAAGAAAGTACAGTCTGCGGGATTCGAACCCGCGCCCGAAGACCAGTGCCTTAAACTGGCGCCTTAGACAGTGAGGAAGAATGGAACCAGTGACCAATTCGACACGCTCGGCAGCCGTCGGGCGCGTCGCCCGCGCCGAAGAGGGCCCAGAGGCAGAACGTCCGCGCGTCGCCGCCGCGCGCGGTGGCGGTCGTCACGGCGCGGCCGCAGCAGCGCGCGCTGGTCGCGGTCCGACTTCTCGTGGAGCCCGGACACGATGCCCTGGACGCCCTTGGGCGCGTCGCCGTCCGTGGACCACTGGGCGCATTAGATGCCCGTCTCGAGCGTCGTCGCATCGCGTCGAAGTTGCCCAACGACGCCGTCGCGAGCTGCGCGCGCGCGAGCGCGCCCGCGACGCCCTTGGCGCCCTTGTGCGTCTTCCGCGCCATGTCCACGGGCAAACCCTCGGGCGCGTCCGGGTCCGCCTTGGCGCGCGCGGCCGCGGCCTTGATGAGCTCGGACGCGCTTCTCGGACTCGAGAACGAACAGATCCCGGCGTCGGGGACGAGCCCGCACCCGTTGGCCCCCGGCTCCCGCCCGAGGCACGGGTTCTCGAAGCAGTCCACGCCCGCCGCGCACCTCAGGAGCTTCGGCGCGGGCGCCGCCGGAACGACGGCGTTTTCCCGAGCCGACGCGCCGCGAGACGAGAGATCCCGGCGTCGGGGACGAGCCCGCACCCGTTGGCCCCCGGCTCCCGCCCGATGCACGGGTTCTCGAAGCAGTCCACGCCCGCCGCGCACCTCAGGAGCTTTGGCGCGGGCGCCGCCGGAACGACGGCGTTTTCCCGAGCCGACGCGCCGCGAGACGAGAGATCCCGGCGTCGGGGACGAGCCCGCACCCGTTGGCCCCCGGCTCCCGCCCGAGGCACGGGTTCTCGAAGCAGTCCACGCCCGCCGCGCACCTCAGGAGCTTCGGCGCGGGCGCCGCCGGAACGACGGCGTTTTCCCGAGCCGACGCGCCGCGAGACGAGAGATCCCGGCGTCGGGGACGAGCCCGCACCCGTTGGCCCCCGGCTCCCGCCCGAGGCACGGGTTCTCGAAGCAGTCCACGCCCGCCGCGCACCTCAGGAGCTTCGGCGCGGGCGCCGCCGGAACGACGGCGTTTTCCCGAGCCGACGCGCCGCGAGACGAGAGATCCCGGCGTCGGGGACGAGCCCGCACCGGCCCAGGCGTTGGTCTGCATCTGGTGTAGGCTCTGTGAACGTCTCGGCGAACTTCGTGGACTTTCAGCGCCAAACGCACGCCCGCGCGCTCTCCCGTGCTCCAAATCGTCGGCGTCGCGCGACTGAAGCGCTCAGATGACGCCGTCGGCCGGCGCGGTGCGTCGCAGGACATCATGAGGGTGTCGCGGGCCGCTTTGGGCGGCGCACGGGCTGCGTATGCCGGCTCCACGGCACGAGAGAGGTTCTGGAGGACGCCCATCTCGATCGAGACCGAGCAAAATCGCCACCCGCGTCGTCGCCTGCCTAAAAAACAAAAAAAAAACCACGACCGTCGTCGGGGGGTGTTGGACGTGTAGACGAGCAAAAAATAAGTACAGTCTGCGGGATTCGAACCCGCGCCCGAAGACCAGTGCCTTAAACTGGCGCCTTAGACCGCTCGGCCAAAACTGCGAGAGGTATCGGTGGAGCCCTTGTTGTGAAACCAACCCAGGGGAACCTAGGCCGGTATCCAAACACCGACCATTTCTGGTCGGTTTGAGGCGCTACTTTTTGATTTGCTGGGGTAATCGCTCCAGATTCGATGTTTGAACTCGCCCTCCGTGCATTTCGTTCGGAGCTCTCAATTCTTTCACCCGAGAGCTGTACACGCCTCGAGCTTCACACGCATCTTTACCGGCACCGCCCCATCCTCGGCACCCAGGGCGACGCGATCGTGCGGACGAGTTCCTCCCGCAGGTCGAGCATGTCGCCGATGATGCGGCCGCGGTGCTCGCTCTCCGTGTGGGTCTTGGGCGCGTCGGCGACGAGGTCGCGCTCGAGCGCTCGCCTGCGAGAGAATGGAGGTCAAGCGCGTCGCCAGGGGCTCCCGGGAGGACTCCAGGGGGGGGGCCCGCGGCGACGCGCCGCGGCGCGCGCGGCCCAGAACAGACACTGCCACCCGCAGCTCCACCTTCAGCTTCCGGTCGCGGCGGCGCTTGCAGGACTTCGCCAGGAGCGACGAGCTCGCGTGGGGGAAGAGGTAGGCGCCGTTCGGCGCGATGGGCGCGCGGCGGACGTGGCCCGCGGACGGGAGCCAGGGCGTCCGGAGGCTCCGGCGGTTGCGCTCGATGCGCTTCCGCCGCTTCCGCTCCACGGGCGACAGCGCGTCGATGGGCGGCAGCGCGCCTTCGCGGTGCGACGTCGCCGCGGGCGTCTCCGAGGACGTCAGGATCGACGTCTCGCGCTTCGTGTTCACGTCGACGCCTGCGCAGGTGCGTACGTCACGGGTTCGCGGGCTCCGGACGAGGCGGAGTGTAGCGTTCCACGAAGCGCCTCTCGACGGCCTCGGCGCGTTCCACGGAGCGCCTCTCGACGGCGTGAAGCCGCGCGCGTTCCACGGAACGCCTCTCGACGGCCGCGCGCGCCGCCGCGCGCGGCTCGAGCCGACGTCGGCGCCGGACGGCGGTCCGAGTGCATGGACGAGCGATCAAAACTCTCGGAAACGACTTCTCGGCTTGACGGAGCCTCGGAACATCTCCGACGCCGGCCGCCGCCGTGGACGATGACGCGCTTCGGCGCGTCGAACTTCCAGTCGTAGGAGAACGCCGCGGGTGGCGGCATGCGCCAGAGCGCCTTGCTGTCGGGCACGACGGGCCCCTCGCCGTCGAGCAGGCCGCCGTCGCTCCCCGCGGTGCCCGGCGTGAACCGGACCTTGCTCTTGGACGTCGACCGCGCGCCGGGCGACGTCCGCGGCTCGTTCCCGAACGTCACGGACGCCGCGCCGGCGGCGCCGACGTACTCGGCGAGCGTCAGCGCCATGCCGTCGAGCACGTCCTGGCGCCCGTCGGGGTCGTACTCCTGGATGGGGTGGAAGTTGTGCGCGGGCTCCTTCTTCGGCGGCGGGATGGGCGAGAACACGGGCAGCGTCTTCACCATCGACGGTTTTCGAGCCGTCGACATCTTCTATTGGCGACGCGGACCCGGTCGTCGCACTACTGCTGCTGTCCGACCACGGCGGCGCACAGTTACAGCGGCCGAAGCTCTCAGACTTCAAGCTTTCAAACGCATGGATACGGTGCACCAGATCTTCTGTCTATGGGCTCCTCCCGGGTGATGGGCTGGCTGCCGCTCGACGACGACTGCGTCCGCGTGATCTTGTTGTTTCTCCGGACGGGCGACGTCTTCGCCGCGCGGGCCTCGGGCCTGGACTGCGACAGCCTGCTCGAGAGCGACTGGGAGGAGCGGCTCCAGGAGCAGCCCCGTCCTTGGGCGGCGTCTGTCCTGTTCTTCTGGGGCGGCGCGTGGGCGGCTCCCTTCGGCGGCGCGTCGTTCCATCGTTCGCCGAGAAGCTCGCTCGAAAGCCGCTCGCTCGAAAGCCGCTCATCGCTCGTCGAACGTCGTCGTCGCGCCGTCGACGCGGGCGCCCGGGCGCGCAGGCTGGGCGCGGCGCTGGGCGCAGTCCTCCGGGGCGCGCGGCGGCTTCTCGACGCTCCTCGGCGCCTGCGAGGTGCGTCATCATTTTGCGACGCGACGTCGCGCCCTGAAGACGTCGCGGTTTAGGTCCGAGCGATGCTCGACGACCCGCGGCGGTCGACGATCGAGAAGGCCGGCGGGCCCGCGCAGCCCCAGATCTTCCTGACCTTCGACAACATGCGCGCGATGCGGCGGGAGTGCGTTTTCCCGGCGTCTCGAGTGTTCGCGCGGCTCGTCCGGGGGATCCGCCGGCCGCCGAGCGGAGGTCGCGCGAGAGCCTCGTCGCTCCCCGGGCCCGCGCCGTCGGACCGCCGCGCCCTTGCAGACATCGCACGGTCCTCGCGAGGAGCCGCATCTCGACGATCAAGAACACGGTCAAGGAGTGCGGTGAGTAGTACGCGAACCCGACCGAACGTCACGACAAATCCGTAGGCTACAGCCCCCTGCTGATCAACACGGTCCGCGCGCTGGAGCTCTCGAGCCGTCTCGCGCTGCGCACGCTCGGCGAGGGCGACCGCGTCGCGCGGAGGCTGTTCATCGTCGACATCGGTACGTCTCGTTCGCCCGCCCCCGCCGCGACCCCCGCGAACAATAGGCCTGGACCCCGACGACGACGCCGACGACGGCCTGCTCAACGAGGACCCGGCGGTCTACGTCGTCGTCGACGGCGAGGACGGCACGGGCCACGACAAGGACGACCTCGACTCGCGGCGCGCGTCGTCGTCCGCGGTCCTGATTCGCGACGCCCGGTGGCCCCGCTGGCGCTGGTGCTCGGCCCGCGGGTTCTGCTCGACGGAGCTGAACGTCGTGCTGGACCGCTTGCTCGAGGGGCCCGTCGGCGACACGTCGACGGACGCGGCGCGGTTCTTGACGTAGAGGTGGATCTAAGTGTCAAGCCTGGAGTTACCACGGTAAATCGCCGAGCTAAACAACTCCACCGAATCGTCCGAACAACCGACGGGTCATCGCTCCGTCGCCGCGCGGTCCGCCGCGGATCGTACGCGCCATGCGCGACCCGACCATGTAAAAGAGCCGTCTCGCAGAATTAAACGTAGACGTGGCTGCGGCTGCGTGGACGCAGACGCAGATGCTGAGAGCGGCCCTGCGCGGCCGGGCCGAGGCCGTCCGAGCTAAAATCACATTCGGTGAAAAAATCGGCGAGGTTGAGCGAGTTAGGCACCGGCTCACCGCTTGCGATGTGCGACCCGCCGCCCGCGAAGAAGCCGAAGCGGCGCTTCTTGCCGCGGGTTCCGCCACGCCAGCAGGCGGCGGCGACGCCCAACAACGTGCCCTCGGCCGGCGGCGGCAAGGGCTTCGCCAAGGGCTTCGCCAAGGGCTTCGCCAAGGGCGGCACGAGCGTCGCCAAGAGCCGAGGCGGCGGCCACGGCGGCCGCGGCGGCGGCGGGCAACGCGGCGGCCGGGCCGGCGGCCGCGGCCTCGGCGCGTCGATGCGGAACAAGACCGGCGGCCGCGGCGGCGGCGCGCCGAAGCCGCGCGTCGACGGGTCGCGCGACGACGACGAGCCCGCGAAGCAGGCCAAGCAGATCTCCCTCGCCGAGGCGCTGCGGCACATCACCCAGCCCGGCGGCTTCCCGCGGGCCCTCGCCGCCCTGCGGGTCGAGGCCGCGGCCCCCCGCGCGCCGCGCGTCCTCGCCGCGGCGCCCGCGGGCACGCTCGCGCAGCTCCTCGTCCACGCGCTCAAGAACGAGGCGCTCGACGACTCCCACGTCGTCGGCCTCCTCGCCGTCGACATGACGGCGCGGATCGACGAGTTCAACACGCAGCAGCTCTCCCAGATCGCGTTCAACGCCACGCGGTCGGGCCGCGGCGACCTCGCGCGGCTCCTCGCCGCGGCGTTCCGCCGCGCCGCGGCCCCGGCGATCTGGCGCGACGTGTCCGTGGTCGCGACGGTCGAGGCGGCCACCGGCCTCACGTGGGCCGCCGTCGACTACGGCATCGTCGCGGCGGAGGCCGCGAAGGCCGCGGCGGGCCTCCTGCCGACGCTCGAGGCCGCGCTCAAGGGCACGATCCCCCGCATCTTCGGCGACAAGGTGACCAAGGTCGGCGAGACCCTCGCCAAGCTCGCGGCGGCGCGCGCGGCCGTCGAGCCCGCGCGCGCGCGCGACGACGTCGAGCCCTCGGCGCCCGAGGCCGAGGAGCCCGACCGCGCGGACGACGTCGACGAGTCCACGCCGCCGGACCGCGGCGGCGGCGGCGGCGACGACGAATCGGGCCTCGGCAACAACGCGACGTCGGAGGAGCGCAAGTCCGACGGTGACGTGCCGCCGCCGCAGCCGGCCGCGGAGGCGCCGCCGCCCGACGACGAATTCGACGATGGCGTGCCGCTACCGCGGCTGCCCGCGGAGGAGCCGACGACGCCCTTCCATCCGGCGCTCGCCCAGGCGCTGCGCGACACGGAGGCGCTCTTCGACGAGGGCCTCCTCACCACGGACGAGTACCAGACGAAGAAGAAGGAGATCCTCGAGCGCGGCGTCTGGTACGCGGAGTCGCCGCCGGAGCCGCCGGACCGCGGCGGCGGCGACGACGAGGGCGACGACGACCTGGCCGGCGCGCCCAAGCGCCCCGGCGGCGCCGGCGAGGACGACCGCGCGCCGCGCGACGAGTTCACGCCGGGCGACGACGACCGCGCGGGCGGCGGCCGCGGCCACGCGCCGCCGGACGGCGACGGCTCCGCGCCGCCGGCCGGCGACGACGACCTCGGCCTCGCCCTGGTCTGCACGCCCAAGCACCGCGGCGGCTCGGGCGCGGACAACCGCGCGGACGACCGCGCGGACGACGACGGCGACGCGGGCAACGGCGACGCGGGCGGCCTCTCCGGCACGGGCGGCGGCAGCAAGAAGCGGAAGCGCCCGAAGCAGCGCCCGGAGCGCCCGGGCCACCTGCCGCCGCCCAAGAAGCGCAAGCGGTCCAAGGTCAAGGTCAAGGAGCCCACCGCGCGCGACCTCGACGACGTCAACGCGACGGGCCGCGGGAGTCGTCGTCCTCGTCTCGGGCCCAAGGCCCGACTGGACATCGAGGCCCTCCTCATCTACAAGGAGGGGCGGCACGTCGGCGACGACGACTCGGACGACTCGGACGAGGACGGCGACGACGACTACGACCCCGACGAGGACAACATCGACTGGAACGGCAAGTGGTTCGACGGCGAGTCCGACTCCGAGTCCGACGGCGGCCCTCAGGGCAACCGCCGGAACGCGACGGGCAAGACATTCGTGTCGATCAACTCCCTGGGCATCGTCGAGACCGGGCCCGGCACGGTCGACGCGCAGCTCACGCGCGTCGCGCTCCTCGCGGCGTCGTTCGCGCTCGAGGCCGACAGCGCGCACCGCGTCAAGCGCGGCACCAGGGCCACACAAGGGCGAGGGGCCGACCCGAGAACCCGCGAAACCCTCGGGAGGGTAAGGGTGAGGGGCCGCCAAATTCCCAGAACCCTTGGCTCGGGTACGGGTGCGGGTACCGACGAAAAGCCACGGGTGCGAGGGACGCCCCTTACCCTCGAGGGTGTCCCGCGCCTGGCCGACCTCCTGATTTCCGTTCGAGGGCGTGTAATGCAGCTGCCAGGTTGTCGGGTCGATCCAAAAGCAGCTTAATTTGCGCGTCCGAATCCAAATTCGGCGGTTTCCATATATATTTTTTTTTAATTAGAGGATTTTGGTAGGGTGCCACCCGCGGGTAAGGGTAAGGGTGCCCAAATTCCCAGGACCCGTGATAACGGGTGCGGGTAAGGGTTTCGGACCGGAGGGTGAGGGTAAAGGTGCGGGGCTCCGTCGGCCAAGAACCCTGACCCGCACCCGTCGGCCCCTTGTGTGGCCCTGCGCGGCACGTCGCTGCACCTCACGCGCGAGGACGCGGTGACGTGGCTCCGCCGCGCCCGCCGCGTCGTCATCGACAAGGACCCGGCCTTCCAGAGCGCGTTCGTCAAGGACGCGTCCGCGCTGCAGCTCGTCGTGACGACGATCGTCGCGGGCGAGTCCTCGAGCGCGAGCGCCGTCAACAAGTCCGCCTTCGACTCGAACCACCACCGCCGAGCACATGGGCATCCTGGCCCTCGCGCGCGCCGAGGTGGCGCGCCCCTCCGGGGCTCCGCCGCCGATGGTCTCGTTCCCGCAGGTCGCGTGCCGCGAGTGCCGCGCGACCTACTCCGGCTTCGCGCGCGTCTTCGACGCGACCGCCGGGGACTTCTGCCGGATCTGCCCGCGAGGGC